ACATATGCATACACACATCTATACACACACTATACATATATGCATACACAACTTATATGCATACACACCTATACATGTATGCATTCATATGCATACATGTATACATGTCAACACATACCTTTACACACACAGCCTATACACACACACATGCATGCCTATGCACAGTCTATACCCCCTATATAAGCATTCACGCACCTATGTACACAAATGCACTCTTATACACACACCTGTGCATATACACCCTCATACACATATGCATACACCCACAAATCCCTATACATACACACACCTATGCATATATGCACGTGTCTAACACACCCTTATGCACATACACACACATCTGTACACACCTACACCAATATGCATCCACACACCTATCTATACACTTACATATACCTATATACACATACACTCCCCTACACCTGTACACACATGCATGCACACCTGCACACACAAATACCCCTATACACATATGCACACACTTAAAACACGTGTGCATACACAACACACATCTATACAGACACAAGCACATACCCACATATTTGTACATATATGTCTATGTCGGCACCCATGCATACACTTAAAACACATGTATGCATACACAACACACATCTATACAGGCACATACACACATATTTGTACATATATGTCTATGTCTTTTTAGTTTTGTCCTATAAATTTAGGTATTTCTTCTTTTTACAAGAGGCCCTTGCCAAGGTCACCGGTGACGTTTTACTGAAACCTGAAGGGAAGCCCCTTGGCGAGGGGAGAGGCCGGACACAGCGACCCGCCCACCGCCCTGCACGGGGTGTCCTGTAACATGAACTCTGCAGGCCTTGGGGTCTGTGCAAACCCCCGCTGGCAACAGCAGCTATGGAGAAAATACACTGTATGCAAAATCATTTTATTGATGCAACCAACTTTTCCAAAGGCAGCTTGCCCTTTCTTGGTCCATTTTATTGGTTCAAATTGCGTATTTAATTAATTCATACATTTTTTACAAAGCATTTGAGAATTATGTTATCTTTGCTAACCCCAGTGTGGTCACGAGTAATGAGGAATGATTCTTTAAGTATCCCAGCTCTTCTCCTGTCAAATTTATCTAACTATTGTTTAATTTGAGCCATGGGATTGCGAAGGGCCATAAATGATTTAAGTGGAAGGTTACAGGATTCTGAAAGGAAAACGTTATTTACTGTTTGTTTCTTCCTAAGTAAATCTCACACTGAGGTCAAGTAAGGGAACGCAGTGCATGCAGACTTAGCAGCAGTAACCCTCGTACCAGCCAGAATTGTGTCACACTCCTGTTACCTTTCCCCAAACCTGTGTGGATACAAAGTTGAAAACAAATTCAGTCTGCAGGTAAAAGAATTTCAGAAAATATTTGAAGATGCTGTGAGTTGTATCCACCACGTTTTTTGAAAGTTTTAATTTATCTGAAGTTTTATCATCCCTTTCAGTAGTGAGCAGCCCATTTCCCGGAGGGACAGTTCTGCCACTTGATAAAACAACTGTTACGGAACTGCAAGTGCTTCCTAATGATTCATGTAGCTTTGCTGCCTAGGATTGTAACACTGCAGCTGACTCATAATTACTCTCTAAAGTTAAGTTGTAGGCAAGTAGAACAAAATCTGACTTACAGACCATCTTATTCACTAAAAATCCATAAATAATGCTTAAATTATATACAGTATCATAGAAGTGGGGCTTTATTTTTCCCCACAAATAAATTATTTTTTTAAAAAACAAATGTTAACAATTTATAAAAAGTAATGCCCTAGCAAAACTACAGTGCAGTTATCATTCAGTACTGTCTTTGGGCTGTTGCAGTAAAGTATGTATTTCTTCAAAATACTGCTTCTTCCAGCACTGTCTTGTACTGTCTTCGTTCGAGACCGGAACTCCTTTGCACTCCAACTGCAGTTCCGTCTGAGCTGCCGCAGCCTTGAAATTCAAGGCGACCGTTGCGTAATGTTCTGAAGGAGGAAAAGGCGACATTCAATAAAGTGTTTGTTAAAAGGACTAGATTTGTTGTAGCTAATTTCATACCACTATTGCCTGCACCTGGGTGAAATCTGCTTCACAAGTGACAACATTTATGAGCTACTGTCCACAGACTACAGAGGAGGCAGCACTTCACTGGTCTGTCAGCTGTCGTATTTGTCCCTTTTCACATGCAGCCTCTGTTAAAGGTCCCCAAATAGACTCACCATCAGGCCAGTTTCTACATCTCCATTTCAAGACAATTCTTTGGCTTGGAACCTGTAAGAAGAGAGAAGGTTTCCCCTCTCTATTAGCATGTTCCTCTACTTTTGAAGAGCTCACAGTATGACTACTCATAGCCAATTCCCCTTTTGAAAAATACTAAGAATATTATTTTAGTAAAAGTAGACATACCCACAGAAACGGTAAGGTTTTCTTAACCAACTATTTTCATCAAGCCCCCAGCTTGCTACATTCCAGTTTTCTTCCCTCCCCTGAACACGGCCACGCTGGTACCGTGCTGAACAAAACACTGATCTGAAAGAGGTAGGAGCAGTAGTAAGTGCTTTTGCTACTACGAACTGCTTAAGCATGGCATAAGTACACCCAGAACCTTTTGCCATGCCTTACGCCCTACCCCACTGTACAAGTTGGGCAGTATTCCTTGAAAAGATCCACAGCCTGTTGCCCGCTTCTTTGAGAAGCGCCGGCAGCGCCTCGGCGTAAGCGCGCATGCGGCCCAGCGCGCGCCGCTCTGACTGCGTGATCGGACCCCACCGTCACTGGCACTACAGCAGCTACAAAGCGGCACCAGGCTGTACTGCAAAGTCCAACTTACCAATTCTGCATATTCACCACTAACACAACCATCAAACATCTGAAGTTTCCCTCCTTTTTCAGCTTCAATCACAGCAGGACATTTAGAGAACTTCTGAACCAACTAGGAAAACAAGAACATAGCAGAAAGAAATCACTTAAACACAAATTTGTGCCGATACATAATCCACTGTATCACAAAACAGGTGCTTTGCTGAAGAAGTTAGTGTTAGAATGATAATTTCAGGCAGCTCTTCTACCTCGTCACGCACAATTCTTTAAACACAGGTGGAGCTTTTAACTTTATGCAGAACTCCACCACAATCTTGTCAGTACCACTAGGCCTCAATGAGCTGACAGAATGAGAATATAAATGCTGACAAACCTGCGGTAAATATAAAGACCAGTTAAGATGCAACAGTTAATCAAATTCAATGGCAACCTGAGGATTTCCAAAATCCTAACTTACAAGTACTTACATAAAGAAACCAGCAAAGGAGCGTGTGCCGCAGCTGCACTAACTTACAAGTAGTACTAACTTACAAAATAAAGAAGCCAGCAAAGGAGCGTGTGCCGCAGCTGCACACACATAAGGATGTGCCCTCACTTTGATGAATCAACTTTTCTTCCTTTTATAGGAAGGTCCTATAAAAGAAACCTAAGCCACCCTAATAACCTCTGGAACGAACCTACCACCACATTAGAGACTTTCAGACCAGTATCTCAACAACCTGACAACTTGTCAAAGTAGGTCAGATTCCTACCCTTTACTTATTACTAGGAGACTGACATTCTACCTCAAGAGCTGTCACAATGCTTTTGCTCTTTCACAAGTGAAATTTCTCACTGCTTTAAAAGAAGAAAAAAATACACACACACACACACACAGAGTGAAATTTCTCACTGCTTGAAAAGAAGAATACACACACACACACACACATTCTCTCACAATACTTCAATTTTTTACACAAACATTTATTCTGATATAATATCCTCCTTTCTTGTACTTCAATTTTTGATTGCTCTCATCTCTCACTACTTTTGATGTGATCAGGAAATATCTGCAGGGCCTGACACTACAAAACTACCATTTTTTACACAAACATTTATTCTGATATAATATCCCCCTTTCTTGTACAGTTCTATTAACTACTGAAAGTGTCACTTACTTCCTTAGTTGTGAAGATGCCATAAAGTTCATCTGCTGGGGAGTTGAACATTTCTTTCATAACTATCTTTACTGTAGGAATTTTTACACCAACAATATCCAAAGAATGTGATGAATCCTGTAAAGCAAATACTCACATGAGTGATGGAAGATCAAGCATTTAAAGCTTTTGGAGTGGCAGGGCTGTTGTCACCTGTGCTGTCTTAAACATAATGTTGTGAATACACATTAATTATGCAGCCTACTTCCATATTTATCTGTGTGTATTTGTGATCATTAGTCACTACATTAAGTGACCAAATTGTTAACATCTAATTTACTCCGCAGAAATCTGCAGCTAGGTTTAGCCTGCGGGAAGTGAGCAGAGAAGATGAATTTCATGTCACCTTGCTAAAGCTGATGCAGAACCGAGCACAAAAGGGTAACATTGGTACCCTGCTTCCTTCCTGAGCACAGCGGGGAGGCAGCAGCGCTGCCACAAAGGCAGGTAGCCACAGGGACACGCAGTTGTCACTACAGTAGAATACATGGGGACGACATTTACGGCCATACTAAACACGGACAACACGTGAGGATAACATACTTGCGTGCTGTTCCCACTGAGTTTCCTCTCATTTTATTGGCCAAACAGCCAAACAACACTATCCACTACAAGCCAGGCTTTTCTGAGTTCTGTGAACCACAATGAACAGCACTTGCCCACTACAGTGTACAGCATCTGCACAAATTTATGAACAATGTGTCAGCAAAATGACACGTTTTGGGTAGGGCCTGCTTTCCTTGACAATGTGTTGGTCCACAGGTCTTCAGTGATGAGCAGCATCACTGTGGGACAAAATAGAGCTTGTGGGTGGAACAAGATACAGCCTGGGGCTCAACTGAAGCTGCTCAAAACTGCCATGTTTGACAACAGTAAAGGTTTTTGACTGCTAAGACTAAAACTTATTTTTGTCTTAGCTGGTGACGATTTAAGAATAAAAATAAAATTCTAAGGTCCTGTCAGTGTACTGCCAATCTAATCAAATGAGACAACTTGACACAATCGAGCAGAAAAATGCACTGAAGCGTTTGAAATTACCTGTTTTGAGCGCTTTCAGATAATCTCTGAGGGCCTCTCTGACTTTCATGGTTCCTTCAGTTCGCATAAGATCCTTCAGAACATCCCCTTCCCCTTTCTTTTTGCTAACATTTATCTAGAAACAGAAAAAAAATACAGTCTAAGCAGTACATGAACACCAGCCTTTGGATTCTGATAGCAAAGGAAAATATTTTGGTTTTGTTTACTATAGTCAGAGGACAGCTGAAATTTCAAGTCCATTATCTTCTCAGTTTACCATACCTTACCAAAACTAAGTCCTCTTGGGGGGTTTCACTTAAATAAACGCAGTATCTCCACAGTAACTCTGTCAAGATCAACTAAACAGAGTTGTCTGCTACACAGCGGAAGCTGAGTAATCTGCAGAAGCCACAGAATCAACTAACTACTACACTGCCAACAGAGAGGAGCTTTTGTAAAAGGCTACAAGCAGAGTTATTCTCAAGTTTGTTTTTAATGCAATGGTATAAACTACAATTAGCAAAAAAAAAAAAAAAGTGCACATTCTTCCTGTTATGTAAGTTTGAGAACAGAGATAAGCCATTATTTAAGTATGGAAAATAAAAAATATGAAGAGTAAACTGAGTCTTACTATCCCATTTAATCACAGGATAAAATCAAAATATGATTCCTATATGTTGATTAATGTTTTAAGAATTGTGGACCTATATAGCCATATCAGTATTTCACACCTACCTCTGTATCATCTACCTCATTTTCTTCTGACAGGTTAGGAATTTCAACAGATCCCTTATGTTTCTCACCAGATTCTTTCACTGTACCTGTATTAACATAATGAATTCTTAAATGTATTATTAAAAACTATTTTCCCCATAGCAGTAGTTTTATACTTGGAAATCAGTTGTACAAGTGTTATGTGAAACAAGTTGCCTAAAATCTAATTTAAAGGAACTAAAACACACACAGAAAAAAAAAAAAAGACGTCCCCAAGCACATGGAACTACTTTTGTAATAAACTACCCACAGAACCATATTTTCCAGAGCAGCCACATTAATGTATCACGCAGATGTATCTGCTAAGTGTGCTCTGCACTGTCATTTTTAGAGCTTCCCTCTGCAGTGTCAGACGTTTTAATCTCTTCCACTTAGGACTTATTTCTGCCCACATAGAATGGGAACATAGTGAGTGGAGAGGAGGAATTGCCCCTTCCTTCCCCTAAATTTGTGTGCCCGTTATTGCAGCGCTCGCTAGGTGCTGGCTAGTCCTGGCAGCTCCTAACACAGCCCGCGCGTTCCCGCCGAGCGGGATGACGCCGGCGCGCACATGGTGCCTGGCAGCAAGCCAGGAAGCGCCACCTCCACGCGTGGCAAGACTGAGCCTTGCAGCGGTTTTGCCCACAGGAACATTTGCAAGATCAGACACTGCCTTCTGCTTGTGCAGCGCTCTGAGCAAAGGCCATCCCAACCGCACACAGCCCCGCAACAAGCCCTGTGATTAGGAGCTGGTGACGTGCTCTGCCTCAAACCTTACTGCACGTACTCGGAATGTAAGGTCTAAGGTAAATTAGTTATTTTCATCCACTGAAGAATCTCCTAACTCCTCTTGCAAAAGCATCTAGTTAATTAAATTTACTCTTTAGATGACTGTATTCAAAAAAATCTCTTTAGAAAGCAACAGAGGAACCATGCAGTTCTGCCCCAAATCCAGTTATCTTCATGCTGTTACATCAACTTAGTTGTCAAGACACTGCCACACAGCAAGCTTCATCAGTCCCAGCAGCAACCTCCCAAAGTACAAGCAACCCACAGTGTTGAGCACAGCAGGGAAAAGGAGTTACTACAAAGATTGACATGGTCTTTCCTTGGCTTCCTTCACCTTCCAAGGAGCTGGCTAGCTCCAGCCTTTGCTCAACATGTACTCTCCTTTATTTGTTTTTTCATTACTACCTGGAATGACCACCAGGCTCTAGGGGAACCACCATCCAATCGTCAGTGGGTTAAGAGCCGAGTCAAGTATGTAAGAAAATACTCAGACATTTCTTAACAAATGAAAAGCTAAAGACATTCATGCTACACAGCGGAGTGTGCTACAAAGATCCCACCCGGTCAGGATCTAGGGGAATAAAGAAAGCAGAGCACGTTGGGCAAAGCCTCTTAGCTCAAGTCCAGAAGCAGACAGCAACAGCCACAAACAAAGGGCTAAGCTAAAGACTTCGTCCCTGGGGCTCCCCAAATACCGCCAGGAGCTCTTGTCGCTCCGCTACAAAGTCGTGTGAACTAGCGGCTTACACTGTCACAGCGTGCCTGGCGCTAGCACAGGGCACGTGCAGCCAGCTCACTTCTCTCTTCGGGGCACTCTTCCAGTTTCAGGGTTAGAACACACAAGCGTCTTTGCAGATGCTGAAAGAAGTCTCAGTTTCAGCTACTGTGCCCCAAAAGGAAGCACAAGACTGCAGTGACAGCTTTTTGAGCAGAGCACAAACTTGACTCCTATCAGTTCAGCTAATTCTATCTGTCCCTTTTAGAATTCTTAAAATAAATACCCGCCCCGTCCCCCCCGCCGAAAAAAAAAAAAAAAACCAACACATCTAGGAGGATGAATCTGTAGCTATAAAAAAAAGCAGTAAACAGACTTTTCTTTTCTTTTGCAAAGCTATAGGGACTGCTTGTCCAAGGAGCTAAAGCAAACGGTTGTCTGTGCTGGTCAGGAAGTGCAACCAGTTAACAAACAGAGTCAATTTGGTTGTGCAACAGTGTGGAAGAACTTTGCACTTTTAGTATCACGATAACGTAAGCAAAACTATTACCCTTTCATTGATAAGACGGTCTAGTAATATGTTGAAAACCCATGGGACTCCATTCACAAGAACTAGGAAAAGAATGAAGCTTTGCTTTCCTGACAATGCACTATTTTAGGAAACAGTGAAAGCACGTTTCTCAGAAACACCACCCTATAAATCCACTCTTAAAATACCTGAATTTTAAAAGGAGATGCACCAGTCTTCATAAAGCTGCCATCACTTGTACAATGCTCCATTAAAGGCCTCCTGACAGCTTTAAATGCATAGAAGAGAGGACAGCCATTTTGCTTAATTTGGGTACCACTGACTGCCTTTAATTCCTCACGTTCTTGGTGAAGAATCTAAATTGCTGGGAGAGGAGAGCTGTTTTTCTTTCCAAACTGGCAGCAAATTTCAGGGATTCTATCATTGTTTTCTTATATATTCATACTTTAATCATAGCTTTAATTCCTAGTTAGAATAACTCCCTACAAGATGTGTATAAAGATATAATCGCAGCATTACTGTTTTTATCAGATATGTCTGAACCCTCATTTCTAATCCACATCCTCAAAAATACACGATTGCTATTAAAATTAAAAAAGCAACCCTTGCTCGCCTAGACTTTCACTGTACTGTAACAATATCCTTTAAAATGTAAGTTTACAATGACATTTCACACTCAGTACAACACTGAACTTGACACCAAGTGCAATATTGAGAATTGTGTGTGGTTAAAGACTAAAGAGCATTAAGACCTATTAGAAAAAAGTGCATGAAAATACAATCAATTACAGTATCTGCCTATCTCTAAGCTTTATACAATGCTGTGACACCAAAATAAAACATTTAAACAGCAAAACTCAACCAACCAGTATCTAAAGCCTGGATGATTATCACTGGTGATTTTAAACAAAAATCATTATTTTTGAACTTGGGCTGGAACTTGGTAAAACTCAAATCAAATTATTAGAATTGTCTAAACTACCCTGGAATAAACTACTATGCAGTATGACATTATGTTTGCCTTCCTCTCTGTTAATGCTCAGATGACATTACTAGGACTACTTCCTAGTTTATAGCACACACGTACTGATTCTATCTACCAACCCATGCTTAAAATTTATATGTGTGAATATATATATATATATATGTGTGTGTGTGTATTATAAGTAGTCCACCAGTACTATTTTAAGTCTCCTATTGTTAGGGGAGCAGAGCTCAATGCTTAAATATTAGCACTGTTCTCAGCAAATGCTAAAAATCACAGGTAGACAAACAAAACAGTCACATACAGAATATCCGCACTGAAAAGGATCCGTAGAAAGGACTGTGGGCAGTTAACAGAATTGCCTCAAACACAGACTACAGCCCTTTTGGGGGACACAGGAAGAGAGAGAGGAAATTTAAAATAGCCCTTGATACTCCCTACTTCATACAGTAACTCCAGGGGCCTAAGAAACAAGTTGCATTTGGGGAAGAACAGCCCATCCTTCAGTGTTAAAAAAGTCACATAGAGCTTCCAGGCACACACTTCACATGAGCTATTCCCGCTTCCCATTCCACTGCCAGAGGCAGTTTGTGATTTGCCATGAAGCTTTAGTCATCTATTAAAGGCAAACGCTTCCTCCATGTTGCTAGTGGCATATAAACCTCCCCCACCAAAACACACGTTATTGGGGCTGCCAATGAAGACCCACTGCAGGCCAAAGACACCCGGGGACAGAGCTCCGTGAGGAAGGGACCCCCAGGGGAGGCAGAGGGGCCGGGTCTTCACTGACAAAATCGCTGCCCCTGTTACCCAAAATAGTGATTAAAATTTAGTTCCTGAAGATTTAGAGAAAACAACATAAAACCCATTGATTTTGGAGATATTTGCGCTTTTACACTTCTTTTGAGCATCTAGTTTCCTACTATCACCACAGACGCACTGACAGCAGAGGCATCGTTCAGACCCACCGGACAAACTTCCTGCACCCCTCACCACCAGCTCCCTGCATTAGCTCCCCACGTTATTTCCTCCTTGCAGCGCGGGAGGAGTAAAGCCCCGCTCATACCCTGCTCAACACCCACGGGGGTGGCATGAAAACAGAGAGAAGCAGCAGCAATCCGAAACTCCGGGCTGCTTCTGTGCGAACACGGGGGCTGTCACGGCTCCTCCGCAAACGCCCCGCGGATCGCGACGCGCCGGGGCGCTCGGCACGGGCCCCCGCGCCCCCACCCCCCCCCACGGACCTGCCACCGGG